AGGAAGGAGTATGGCAGAAAGGGATCTAGGGGTTATAGTAGACCACAAGCTAAATATGAGTCAACGGTGTGATGCTGTTGCAAAAAAAGCAAACATGATTCTGGGATGTATTAACAGGTGTGTTGTGAGCAAGACACGAGAAGTCATTCTTCCGCTCTACTCTGCGCTGGTTAGGCCTCAACTGGAGTATTGTGTCTAGTTCTGGGGACCGCATTTCAAGAAATATGTGGAGAAATTGGAGAGTGTCCAGAGAAGAGCAACAAGAATGATTAAAGGAGTTGAGAACATGACCTATGAAGGAAGGCTGAAAGAATTGGGTTTGTTTAGTTTGGAAAACAGAAGATTGAGAGGGGACATGATAGCAGTTTTCAGGTATCTAAAAGGGTGTCATAAGGAGGAGGGAGAAAACTTGTCCATCTTAGTCTCTAAGGATAGAACAAGAAGCAATGGACTTAAACTGCAGCAAGGGAGGTTTAGGTTGGACATTAAGAAAAAGTTCCTAACTGTCAGGGTGGTTAAACACTGGAATAAATTGACTAAGGAGGTTGTGGAATCTCCATCTCTGGAGATATTTAAGAGTAGGTTAGATAAATGTCTTTCAGGGATGGTCTAGACTGTATTTGGTCCTGCCATGAGGGCAGGGGACTGGACTCGATGACCGCTCGAGGTCCCTTCCAGTCCTAGAATCTATGAATCTATGAATGCTAGTAGCAACCTTAACTCTGCTCTGATATATCATATTATTTTTAAACTAAGGATTTAATTTAATGAATTTAGGTCACACACAGGAATAAAAACATATTTTTACATTTCGGTTACTAGATAGCAACTCTAATGTGATTCCGGCTTTCTCTGCAGTTTAAAAATAAATAACTCCCTTCCTCATTCATATAGATGTAAAGCATTTCTTGAAGCCAGTGCTGGGGCTGTACTACAGGCCAAAAGAACCTTCCCCTCAACCTCCCAAAGCCTGCCCTAAATTGCTACGTGGGGTGGTAAACGCCAACAGCAGAACCCAGCACTAAGCTTGGCAAATAACTATCTTCCTATTTTGCTGAAAAGATCATGCAATTTCTTGAAGGCTTCTCAAACAGCATGGGTCTGCTCCTCTTATACCAGCCAACAACAACCCACTTATACTGAAGACTATATCCTAATGCATTCACACCAAGGCCTGAATTAAGGTTCCACAGGCAGCCTTAAATTTGATTTTTCCTTCATTTTGCAACCTTTATACTTTTTTAATGCATGGGCTGGAGAGTACCAGCATGGGTCTCAAGGAGGCCAAAGAGGAGGAGGTTACAGTAATCAGCACAGGTGCTCACCAAGCCATGAACTTGCATAGAAGCACTTGGACAGAAAGGAAGGGTTGAGTTTGTTAAAATGGTTGGAGAAAGAACTGGCAAGATCTGGGGACAAGTGGTAAGAGTATGTATGAAAAATGTAAGTCAATTCCTTCTAAAGAGCTTGAGCTCTGTGCCTTTATAGTCATGTCCAGAAAGCATGCTGATTTTGATACAGGACTGAATGTCTAGAGATCTGGAATTTATTTATTCTAGGTTCTGCTGGAGACAGATTGTATGTGATTTTGGACAAATCATTCAATCTGTGCCTCAATTTTTGCCACTTTAAAATGGGAATAATAATACTTCCCTATCTCACAGATATGTTCGGAGGATACATTCATTAATGGGTCACCCTTTACATTAAGGTTCCATTTATAAATTGTTTGTAAAGGGTTAGCAAATATTTAGTAGATGTTATAAGTATGTAATAGACATGTGCTATAGAACTTGAGAGTATTATACATTATAGCTGTTGTTACTATGATTGGTTATTTTCTATTACTTCCTAAAGAGACCTTTCACAAATTCAGCAGATTCTACTTACTTGCCTCACAGCCATTTCTATAATTGTAAGGAATTTATGCAGCCTGAGCAGTGCTTGTAATTTATCCTGTTTGTAAGGAACTCAGGAAGCCTATGCAGGGCTTGCAATTAAATTAGTATACCTTACTACCCATCGGTCTTTGCCCACCAGAGGCTACCCATGCCAACTATAGTTTATAGGAAGTTAGTTTTCAGAGTAGCAGCTGTGTTACTCTGTATCCGCAAAAAGAACAGGAGTACTTGTGGCACCTTAGAGACTAACAAATTTATTAGAGCATAAGCTTTCGTGGACTACAGCCCAGTGAGTACCAGTCTTTGCTCAGTGCAGTGGCTGTATGTTTCCTTACCCACTAGGGGCTGCATTGTGTTCTCAGAATAAAGCCTGGTGCCACTGCTGCGTCACCTGGATCTGAATCTGTTCTGAGCGTTATCTCGTTCTGTGACAATAATAGGTACTATTCTTGGTAGGTAAGTAATTTCTGTTTCAGCCTTATTTTTGTCCTTCTTTTGGATAGTTCAATTCAGTTCACATCTGCTTTGTAAGGTGATGGTTGTTTATTCTTCCCTAGGTGGACTGAATGTCTCTAAGGCACAGTAACAGTCCATTTCTTCCTGCAATGGAAATCTGAATGGGAGTGCTCTTTTTGTGTTTGCACTCAGAATACTGCCTAAAGCCTTGTTGCAAGCCAGACACTAAGGGCAATGTACTGAATCTGAGGAGCAAGAAAAATGAAAGTGCACCTGCAGTTAAAAATATACTGTTTAAACAGAAATGTATATAAAATTCTTTATGAGCTCACCAATTGAAGATGTATATCCCGTTTCCCATGTAGAGACCAACTTAAAGCTCCAGGAAAGAATCTACATTTTAAACAGAATGACAGATTATTTTATTTTTTAGTGTTAGCAGCAAGACTTTGTATTGCACATTCTTGGGAAAACGTGACTTCTCCTGGGGAATTGTGATATAGTAAAATATGGACTATCCTTGCAATGGAAAACCTTTCACACCAAGTATGTACACAAGGGAAGCACCAAAAAAAGAATAGGTATGTAGAAATTTGGTCGCCCTTTTTAGCACACTCCAAGGCAGAGGCCAGCATCTTTTGCTAGGTTTTCTGAATATTAACCTGCTCCTGAATAGTAATGGAAGATGTAGTATGTTAATGTTAATACTCAGTCTGTATTTAGACAAAACCATAAATTAAACCCTCTGAGCCACAGGTGCCATTTTTCTGGGTGGGTGCTCCACCCTTTCTCCATCCCGAGGCCCCACCCCCCTTTGCTCCTCCCCCCAGTGACCCGCCCTCACTCCACCTCTTCCTGCCCCTGCTCCATCCCTTCCCCTAGTGCCTTCTGCCCACCGCCAAACAGCTGATCAGTGGGGGCTGCCGAACAGCTGATCGGCAGGGCCCACTAAACAGCTGATCAGCAGGGGGCTGGTGGGTGCTGAGCACTCACTATTTTTTTCCAGCTCTGGAGCACCTACAGAGTCAGCACCTATGCTCTGAGCAGTCATGTATTGGAAGGCCACTAGCAACTCTTGGAAGCCTCTTGTTAGAAATCTGTCCCGTGAATTTAAATTATTAAATTACGCTAATGGTCCATTTAATCCAATATTTTGTTTCCGATGGGACCAGTAGCAGATACTATTGAGGCTGCTCTGCAAGTATATGGACCATGATTCATGTACCTGCTCACCAGATGTGATATACAGTTATGTAGGGAGCCCGATGTGAAAATTTTGTTCTGTCACTTATGTAGAAGAGGCTGAATATATAAGGAATACGGTATTAAAAACGCTATGATGATTATTGCATGGCAAATATGAAAAGAAACACGTCTTTAAAATCACTCACTCTGATTAGGTGGCACACTTTCTTTCTGTGTCACATATACTGCTTTGCATATCAAATGCACAGAAAAATCATTTTGAATCTCTGCAGAGTGCTTAGACTTGTTTTTTAAACTTCAGCAAGAGTGTAAGTCTTTAAATACATTTTATTGTTTCTCAACACCTCTTGAGACAAGTCCAAGTTAATTAGATTGTGAGCCTGCTCCAAAGGTTATGTATTAGAGATTCTGATATGCAGTTCTTGTACTTTTATGTCCAGAATTTTTTTCTCCAGTATCCTCCTCAGTTTCCCCTTTGATTTTCTATAAAACACTTTTGTCTGGCACAGCACCACTACCCCTCAAACCCAAACCCTACCAAACCCCTGAATCTTCCAGCACAGGACTCCTTTACATTGTTAGCCTCATAATTGTAATGACCTTTGCAAAATTGGAGCCCCCGTCTTCAGCAGTGCATGGAGAACCTGAATGTGAACTGTCCTCCTCCTTCAGGCCCACTGGTGGAGGTGGAGGGCTTGACTTCACTATCCTCCTGGAACGGCGGGTAGAAATCAATCTCTTGGGGATCGATTTATCGCGTCTCATCGGGACGCGATAATCGATCCCCGAATCGACACACATACTCCACCAGTCCAGGTAGGAGTAAGCGCCGTCGACGGGGGAGCCGCGGCGATCGATTTGCCGCCGTCCTCACAGCAGGGTAAGTCGGATCAGATACGTCAAATTCAGCTACGCTATCCCCGTAGCTGAATTTGCGTATCTGAAATCGATCCCCCCACATAGTGTAGACATAGCGGGAGATCTGGCCTTTTGTTGCCTCCTGATTGGACCTACCATTGGAATAGGAGAGCAAAGGCAGCCCTTGAATTGTTATGTCTATATGGTAGAGATTCCCAATGTGCTTGTGCCTGGAGTTGACTTTGTCACATTTACATCATTGTTCTGTTCTACTTTGGCCAGTTTGGGTTGCTTGATAATGAAGCAAAGTACTCACTTTCCTTTCTCCCTGCTTCATGCTGGTCCTGGAGATGTGAGTATTACCTCCTCAGTATCTCCAACCTCTGCTTGCCTCAGAAGGGAGGGTCCAAACTTGACAAGTCCATACTCCAGCCCTTTATATGATAGCACAATATGCTACTACTGGGCCACAAAGCTGACTTGAAACCTAAAGTTACAACTGGCGCTAACAATACCCGTGTGTGTGATAAGTGTTGGCAAATGTAAAATTTTTAAATGACAACCACACTACTAATTTCCCGCAATTAAAAAAAATATATTTGACAGACAGTATGCAAGGAAAATCTAATCTAATCAAGCAGCTGTGCAGTCTTGAGAGAGCTTCTTTCTTATATGAATATAACTAATTTAGAAACGTGCATAAGTGGAAGCTGAATAAGAATGAGCAACAGCTGCCCATACTGCTCTGTGTAGAGTGACTGTTGGCAAATATGCAGTGTCATATCTTGTAGACTTCATTGGAGCTTGCTTTTCTGTGTGACATACCCAAGGTAATGAAACCCAATATCTGATGAGACTATGTTATCCCTGCTTGATTTTCAATATGCATTATATCAAGCTTCTACGGTATTTGGTCAATTTACTGCATATTCTATCGAACTTAAAATATATTTTGAGTTCACTATACTTCATATTCATCCCATTATGCTTTAATAAGTTCAAATGTAATCTTTAATCTTTTGTCAAAATGAAAAAGTTTCATTTTATTCAGTGCAATATACCTTTTTTTTCAGGGGGACAAGTATTACTAGTAAGCTTTTTTATATGCTTCAGTAATTCTATTACATTATACAAGCACTTGATAGGAGATGTTTATCAACATTTCCATTATACAATCTGATTTGTGGGGGTCTTTAAGTTGGCTGCAATTTTGTATGAAATGTCTATCAAAGGATTCTGGGAGTAACCATTTAAACATGTGACTGAAAACAAAATCTGTTCACGGTTTATGCTGGTTTAGTTTAAAGGCTCAGTAGTTTATGCTGTCCCAATCCAGTTTTTAGGATTTAAATCAATGCTGGGGATCAGGGAGTTCTCAAGCTCATTGAAGTCAAAGGGAGCTATTATAGAGAGCATTGGTAATCTGTCCATGCCAGGCTATGATCTAGTTGTTGCACCAATGGATTTGGGAGCCTGGATTGCTGGGTCCTATTCCTAGCCCTGCCACTGACTCTCTGTATGACCTTGGGCAAGTGATTTAACTTCTTTTTCCCCATCTGCAAAATGAAGACAATACTACTTACCTACCTCACCGGGTTGTTGAAAGTGTTAATTAATTAATGCTTGTAAAGTACTGGATGGAAATGTACTATACTAACGGGAAGCATTATTATACTATGTAAATATTAACTGAGATTTTTTTTCTTTCTTTTAGATTATTACTGTAAGAGACTATATTCCAAAAATCATTGGCCCAGAGGCTTTTAATCAGTATCTTGGTCTGTATAAAGGCTATGATCACAGAATAAATCCCATGGCTTCAAATGTATTTTCTACCGCTGCTTTTCGATTTGGTCATGCAACAATACACCCAATAATAAAGAGACTTAATGTTCAGTATCAAGATGACCCAGACCTCCCAAATCTTCATATGCATGAAGTTTTTTTTAGTCCCTGGAGGCTCATTAAAGAAGGTATGTTTTTATGTGGACTACATCTTTTCACATTATTGCAGCATTTTCCAAACCTCTTCCTAATTGCATTTCAAAATCTTATAAAATCAACAATATTCATTTAATTGCATCATTGGTTCAGGTTGTTGAACAGTGCCCAAAGAATTAATGTCAACCGGGACAATTTATTCTTGTTAACTAGTCTTTTGAAACACACAAACAACGTCATTAGAAACATCTAATTCATCTCATATAATCAGTCTGTTAGCAATGTTTCTGCTGTCTTAAGAAACAGACAGTGCCTCTTAACTGCATTATTATTTTCTTTTCAAAATGGAGCATATCATTATTTTGTTTGAATTTAAGGTGAATAATTTTAAAAATGTAGAGAGAAAAGTGCATGCAGAAATATTTAGAAAATTTATAATGATTTTGTTTTCACATGTACTTTGACACTGCATTGGTTTTATGTTTTAAAGGAGGTTTGGACCCTTTACTAAGAGGTATTCTAGCAAAGTCAGCAAAACTACTGATGCAGGATCAAATCATGAATGAAGAATTAACAGAAAAGCTCATTGTATTGTCAAATAATGGGTCATTGGACTTAGCCTCATTAAATTTACAGCGTGGACGTGATCATGGACTCCCAGGTCTATTACTTTTTTCTAGATTTTCTATGCTAATGATTCAGACATCACTACCTGTATTTGTAGCATACTGTAAATTTACCAACATGGTTATTAAGTGAAAGCTATGTCTAGTTAAACAGAGACATTACAGCAGTCTCTTTTAGGAATACACAACAAGAGTAAAAAGTAGCTATAATGAAGACAAAATATTCAGTAGCAATAGACATGAAAACAACCTCCTTAGTTTGAAAGGGACAAACCATAATGCAGGGGGTTACTGTATGTATCTGGAGTGGCTTTTTAGTAACTATGACTTTTATTAGAATTGGTCAACATTTTTCAAATCTCAAAATTGTAAATTTTATTTTAAAAAAATCACAATTGTTACAATTTTCCCCTATGCTTTTCAATGAGCTCTACCTATTAGGTTTTTTCTAAAAAATAAAAGACAACCATAAACCTTCAGTTTAAATTATTTTTATTTGAGCTTAAGGAGAACAATATGGAGAAAGAAAAGTCGTCTCTATGGGTTGCACAATGTAATTCCCACTTCAGGTAGACATACAAGCACTAGCTTTGATTGTGCTAGTGCACTAAAAATAGCAGTGTGGCCACGGCAGCATGGGCAGCAACCTGAGCTAGCCACTCCAGTACTGTCCCATCCGATATCCGATGTATGTACTTGGGTTGCTAGCGTAAGCTGCTGCCCATGCTGCCACAGCTGAATTGTTATTTTTACCATCCAAGATCAAAGCTAGAGCACGTATGTCTAGGCGAGCTGGGCATTACATCACTAAGGACAGTGCAGACGTACCCAAAAGGAAATTCATAGTGTGTGTATGTGTCTCTTCTGTCTCTGCAAACAGGCATAGCTCAGAAATGGAGAAGTGCAGTGCACAGAAAACGAAGGCATTGAAGTGTCTAATGCTCAGTGGCTGAAGCAGACATGGGGCAGTCCAGAGCCATGATCAAGTAGTGTGTGGGTGGTCTAGTAGCCAGGAGGGCAATCAGTCTTAAAACTACTCCCAAGCAATGGTCGGCATTCTTTCAGGGGGTCGGTAGCTGGGGGATCCAAACCAAGGGGCGAGGTGGCAAGGCAGGGCAATGCAGCAAGGCAGTTTAGGCAACAACCAGCAGGCAATGGTTTCCTCAGACAGTTTCCTCTTCCTGTTGGGATCTTTATATAGTCCAGGTATCCCATGGGAATGCTGTCTATCCTGCCAATCAGGGAGTTGGGGTGTGGCTGCTGGAGCTGTAGACACTTAGCAAAGGCTGCTGGTCAGGGGTGGTGATTCATCATTACCACTGTAGTGTGGCGGCTACAGATGCCATCTAAGGACCTCAATGGGCCTCTTTTTGATACCGGTTTCCTGACATCATCACAGTTACATATGCTACCAATGTCCTTCTTGAGAAGTATCATTAGATGCCAATGATTCACCAAAATGGTTTTAATAGTTTAGTTTTTCCAGACAGAGAAAGAGAAAATGTCATTTTTATATTATGAAGCAATTCTCATCCTCTCTCATTTTCCCTTGTTCTGGTATCAGCCTGACACACTATAACCTCTACTGCTTGTACTGACCTGACCCTGTTTGTGTCTGAAATTTGTTCTTCATTCACTCATTTCATTAATTCTAAAAGGCAACTTTGCAGCTTCAGGCAATGTAGTAAGACTTTCACAGAGCAGTTAGTTTGAGGCCTATGTTTCTTTCTCTTTCTCCCTTTCATTAATTAAAAATTAGATTCAAGGTACAAACGAATGGGCTAAGACTTTTCATTCTAAGATGCACTAGCCACAAACTTTTGAATTTTCCTTTTGCTCTATCATCAAGTCTTCAGAATTTTTAGAAATGGAAATGTTATTTTATGCCTAGTTTTACCTTCATTAACATAATGTAGCTTCAATATATCTAAAATGCCAGATTTTGCTACCCTTACTCACACTGAGTAGTACCTCACTCTGTGAATAGGTCCATTGATTTCAACCAATTTTACTAGGTCTATTTTCAGAGGGAGATGCTAGTTGGTGTGAGTAAGGGTATCAGAATCTGGCTCCTATAAATGAGTTAGTTTTGGGTGCTACGTTAAACTGTCAGATTTCAAGGCTAATCTCTCTATAAACTTAATATCATTAGGTTACAATGACTGGCGAGAATTCTGCGGTTTACCAAGACTGGAAACTCAAACTGACCTGAACATGGTAATAGCTAATAGGAAGGTAGCTGAAAAAATCATGGAATTGTACAGCAATCCAAACAATATTGATGTTTGGCTTGGTGGCCTAGCAGAAAACGTCCTCCCAGGTGGTAGAACTGGCCCACTGTTTGCATGTATAATTGGAAAGCAAATGAAAGCCCTGAGGGAAGGTGACCGGTAAGTTTATTTATATTGTTTATTTGTACATAGCACCTCAAAGGGTGCTGGGCACTTCACAGATATGAGAAGTCCCTGGCCCTTATAAAAACATTATGACAAAAGAGGGAGGAAAGAGGAAAACGTACATGCATTTTATCCCCACCCCACTGCCACTTTTTATTGTTCCTTAATCCCTTGTTTACCAATTTCTTTCTTTTTTTCTGGAATTTTCTCTCTATTCTTCCTTTTGTTTGTATGTGATTCCTACCAGCAAGGAGACCATTCCTATGGCACATTGTAAATGAACAGCAATCCCATGCTGCTATTCAGCAAGCTGATTCCTCCTGCACAGCCCCTGTATGAGACTTAAGTGGTGCAAAAAATTTTATGCAAGTGTGAAAGTTCATCCTGGGAAAACAGAGTTTTACCTGTATAAGAACTGCAGGCTCAGGCTCTGAATGAACACAAGATTCAGTCATAGTAACATAAAAACAGTCCATTTTTTAATGAATTTTAGAATCAATGGGCACCGCAGGAAGTGGTGTGGGCCAAGGGGTGTGCTGGCCACCATTCCCGCAGCCCCCATTGGCCTGGAGTGGTGAACCAGTGGGAGCCGCGATCGGCCAAACCTGCAGACACGGCAAGTAAACAAACCAGCCCGACCCGCCAGGAGCTTTCCCTGAACAAGCGGCGGACAGGCTTTGAGAACCACTGGTCTAGATAATACTTAGTCCTGCTTCAGTGCAGGAGACTGTACTAGATGACCTATCGAGGTCCCTTCCAGTCCTATATTTCTATGATTTCTATGCCTGACATTGTACCAATGTTGTTTGATACAAATGGGTGAGCTGACCCCAGTTCTCTGTGATAAAAAGATGCCAATAAAGTTAAAAGGTTTAGTGTTTAAGGGTACATCTACACTGCAAAAAAAAAAAAAAAAAAAACAAGATTGTCAACAAGATTCAGAGCCAAGGTCAACTGACTCAGGCTCACAGGTCTCTGGCATGGGGGTTAAAAATAACAGTATGGACTTTGCTGCTTGGGCTGGAGCTTGGGCTCTGAAACCCAGCAAAGGGGGTGAGTCTCAGAGCCCAAGCGGCAACGTCTTCACTGTTACTTTTAGCCCTGTGGTACAGGCCGCAGTCAACTGATCTGGGTTCTGAACTCGCTGCCATGAGGCCTTTTATTTTTTTAGTGTAGACATACCCTAAAACTGTAATTTGACCCATCCTAATGTATGGAACCAAGATTTGACCAGACACAGGAAAATAAATCATTATGCTCTCCACCATGGAAATGAAGAAGTTGAGATGGTCAAATGTTAGGACACGCTGTAATAGGAAATAAAAGGAGATTGTGAGGGACCTAATGCTGGTTGCCCCAGTTGAAGACAAATATAGCGAAGCTAGGCTATGTTGGTATAGACACATCCAGTGGAGACCTGAAAGCAATATTGGTAGGGTGGTCCTTGCGATGATCATGGACAACCAATAGAGAGGCCAAAGATTCATCCATGGATCAAATATCAGCGGACCTTAGTGAGACTAACTGTGCAACAGCAAGATCATGAGTTTTGGAAGAAGACTATAAAATGTGTCGACCCTGAATAGGGAAGCATCAAGAAGGAGGAGGAAGAAGATTGTATAGGCAGGCTGGGATAACAAGTTGATTGATAAATACTGAAGAAACATGTAATATTTTGTTTTGGTTGTCACCCCTCTAGGGGAGTGAAAGGAAAAATCTATTTTTTTAATTTAGTGACTTTGGTTTAGTAATACAATGCTTAGGTAACCTGATGATTCATATATTAATTGAGATACCAGTTAACAAGGAGTTCAAGATATCAGTTCCCAGATATTGATTTAAGATGATAAATCAGAATTGAGCAAGATTTCTGACTGGTTGAACTCTATCCTGGTAGGATCGGAATCTCTCAGCTACATGACTAAAATTAAAATTATTCCCTTTTGAATTGGCCAAACCAAGTCCACACTTTAACTCCAATAGAATCATTTGGAAAAAAATGTTTCTGCTCCATCTGGAGTTACTCCTTTTTCCCTTGCCTTTTCTTATTCAGATGCTTCACGCTGAAAGAGGCAAAAATTCTACAGCTGATCTTTTGGCTGTCTGGTTGTAGACTATACTATGGCTTCTCATGTCTGAATTGATACCCCTAAGATGAAAAGTTTCCTTTCAAGCTAATTTATATATATATTGGTGATGTGTCCTGTAACATATGTTTAACAAATTCTGTATTGTGGAGACATGTAAGTTACAAATGCATAGTCTGACTAATGGTGCATGTAACACTGAGCGTGAGGTACAAGCAACTTACATTCAAATTTATCTTCTAAGATTTTACTTTTATATTTATTATGTTTGATTAATGAAAAGCAATAACTGATTACCAAGTCTGCATATATGAATAGTGATCATCCTTGTGCTGAAAATATCTCCATTCTTTATGGCTTGGAGGGTATCTGATTTCCTGGTGGGAGGAGGTTGATAGTGAAGAAGGGAAGAATTCAAGAGCAGTGTCAAATTGTTCTTCCCCACTCAACCTTCTGAACACACTCCCACCCACCCACTATCCATTATTCTAATGGATAACTTCCTCTTCTGATGTCAGAGCCACCTCTTTTAGATTCCCCTCCCCACCCCTTTTACAAGATGATTTCATCCTCTTGATTTTGCTAATTTTAAGGGATGGTTCTTAAGGTGCCCCTGTCAGGGAAAAAGGGTTAGCCCTTGGTCCTGCTAAGTGCTGAGCACTCCTGTAAGATACTAAGCACGCTCAACTCCCACTGACTTCCACAGGAGCTGGGGATGTTTAGCATGTTGCAGGAGAACTGAGCACTTTGCAGGATTGAGCCCATAGCCAATTTTACATTGAGCACATACATCTTCAACCAATGTAGTTGTTGTTGTATTGCCGTTAGTACAGTGCATATTCCTTAACTGTAACTAAAAAAAACTGCTTATTTTTTGTCTCATAATAATAGTGCACTCTGCAAACAGAACTAATTAACACCTCTAATGTAATCTTTTTAACAAGCACCTACCAATCTTTGCAGATTTTGGTGGGAAAACAGTCATGTTTTCACAGAAACTCAAAGGCATGAACTAAGAAAACATTCTTTGTCCCGTATAATCTGCGATAACACAGGCCTCTCAGAAGTGCCACCTGATGCCTTTCAACTTGGGAAGTTTCCTCAAGACTTTGAGTCATGTGACAATATACCAGGAATAAATTTAGAAGTGTGGCAGGAAAGCAATCAGCAAGGTAATCTGAGAATTAAATATCTTTATTAAATGGGTCGGAAGAATGGTCCAGTGGCTAGAGAGTTGCCCAGAACTTGGGAGACATGAGTTCAAGTGCCTGCTCTAACACAGATTTCCTGTGACATTAGGCAAATCACTTCATCTCACTATACTTCAGTTCCCCATTTGTAAAATAATACTTCCATACTACACTGGATGTTTTGAACATAAATACATTAGTGATTGTAGATAGGTGATAATTGTACAGTACTCACCATTAAAAAGTCAACATTTAACAAGAGTTACCACATACTGATATCTTAAATACTGTACTTAGGCCCTTAAAAAATCCTGCTTAACTTGAGGCACATGAAAAGTCCCACTGAAGTCAACATAGAGTAGACATGGAGAGTGATGTGCGAGAGATAAAAATAGTAAAGCTGAAATGTACCTTTAACTCATAATGTGTCCTTTTTATATTTCTAGAGGAAACATGTGGATTCCCAAAGGGAATAGCAAATGGAAACTTTGTCTATTGCTCAGAATTTGGAAAATCCATGGTGATTTACTCATGTCAACATGGGTACCAACTCCAAGGAGAAGAACAATTAACCTGTACAAGCAGAGGATGGAATTTTCAACCACCAGTTTGTATAGGTATCTGTATTCACACATCTGACTTTTTAATGACCAAGACTAATACAATTGACCAAAAATAAAAATTTCTTATTATTTCCTGTTAAAAAATAAACTATTTCAAAACTCCTTTCCCTTTCCATGTTCTGGCTGCCATAGAAGCTGTTGTATATGGTGAAAAGATAGCTAACCTTCTGAGGTGGTATTGATGGGCCTCCACAGCTACTTCACACTTCCCTTCCCAGCTGCAGAATCTCAGAGTCTTCCAGTCCTGATCCAGCAATTGGGCTTATGCAAGTGATACCAAGGGAAACTAACTAGTAAAACATGAACTATTAAACTAGCATGAAGCTATGTAGCTCCCACTGGGAATCTCTTAAGGGAAAAGAAGTGAGAGTTGTACATTTCCTCTTCCTACAGCCAGAATCATAACAACAGCTAGGGACTGTTCCAGGCAGTTTTCTGGTGCTGTTTCAGTGGACTCTCTCCTGTACATGACTAGTACAGTACCAGCAGCCTATGCATCCAGCCAGTAAGTGAGGCAAGAGCTACAAAAAAAATAAAAGGGAATTTTGATCTTAAAACAAAAAGGCAAAATGTTTTTGTTTTAATAATAATAAGCCCCAACAGGTTTACTGACGTGCTATAATTATTGCAGCTTGAAACATACAGCTGATTGAAAAATGACAAAGACATTTTTTCTTGTTCATTCAGCAATTTTAATGAATGTTTATTGAAATTTTCAGGGGCTGGCTTTTGTTTATCTATCTTCGTCTTCCCATTTCTCCCCTTTCTCCCTCCCCCTTTTTTTTCTTTGGAGGGAAGGAAATGGGGAGAGAGAGAAAGAGAAAAGAGGGACCATTGCAAACATTGTATTAATGGAATTTCACTATATATGAGTTTACTTTATGCAGGATTCCACACACTCTGTGTGCTCATCTTTGTGAGTTTATATAGACTCAAATGGTTCAGACTTCATGAGAACACTCAAGAAAATGAACCCCGAAAAAGGCCATGTTTAGGAATTCTTCATGGAGTATGGTGGCAAATTAATTTGAATGCAAGTGCTACAGCTGATCTTCAATAAGTCTGTTTATCAGCATGTCTATGGAAGTGGAATAAAAAGCTTTTTACTTTAATTGTAAACCATATATAGAAAAATCAAATGAAATTTGCAGCTTTCCCCTTTATTCAAATCCTACTTATCCTCTGAGTTCCACCCACATAAATACCATATAAAGAAATAAAGCTGTTAAATGAATTATAATAATTCTTTTTCAATAGATTAATGTTCTGGCAGCAAACTGAATAAATAAATTACATGAATGACTCATTTCTTGTCCTAGTTTTTGTTAATATGTTAAGTAATGTCAACAGAAGGCTGTATATCTGCTATAGGAAAACAAGCAGTATAATAAACACTGCATTTATTAATAGAAAACCATCAAAACACCCTTAATGCAGATGCTACTTGAGTTTTACAGTAGGAAGCTCTTACTTTGTTACATGCCTGTCTGGGCAGTGTGTTAAACATAGTACCATAAATTAAGAATAAATCAAGTATTAAATAAAGAAGGCATTTCTGAAGATGGTTTCAAAATTACACACATTTTTGGAAGAAAAGGGGGGTCTAATGGCAAGAGTATAGCACTGGCAGCACTGTACCCTAGGGGAAGGTTCACAGGAAAATTGAAAGCACCAAGAAGTTTTGTGGTGAATGTGTGTATGTGTGTGTGCAAGATTATCTAATGTTATGCACGGTGCTTTCAGAAATTCAATAACTTGCGGTTTATAACTTGGAAATAACTATAGCTTAACTTTTAGTGAACAACCACAGATTATTTGATGACTGCACTAGTTACTCTCTTCTCTCTCTCTTTTTTTTTTTGTCATTTCCAGCAGTAAAAAGTTACACATAATTGCTTTGCAATTTTGCTCACATATAAGAAAGGAGTAATATTGACATTATTGATACATATTTTATTTTTAGTTCACAAATATCCTTCTCTTTGGAATACCTGTTAGAGACAGTTGGTGTGTACAAGAATGTAGTGAACTAGGCTATTAGTTTCTGACTCTCTGTTATCAATGTGTTTCCACGTTATAGATATCAATGAATGTGAAAACCAAATTAATCCATCGTGCCACACATCTGCTAAATGCATTAACACCATAGGCGGCTACCAGTGTGTTTGCACAGATCCTTACGAACTGGCAGAAGATGGAAGAACGTGCTTAGGTAATGTAATGATCCCTCCGTCCATTAAAACTGTTCCAGTGGTCTGGGTGTGCAAATTGTAAACCTTGGGTCAAAAATGATTTGTTATACAAAATATGTTGTTAACAGATTAAATTATATATATATATATATATATATATAATTTCACACACACACAAACACACACACACAGAATGTAAACAATCAGACCTATAAAGATACAGTCAGATTTTGTTGGGCAAAGTCAAAGCATTGAGTATATACACACAGCAATCATCCTTCAAATCTACAGCCTAAACCTCATCGTTTTCACTTTTCCTTTGTTATGCCCCAAGATAGTATTTGACTCACTACCTACCTGAGTCAGATACTAGATAAAGAATACTGATATTACTGATGTAACATTATCAAGTCATTAAAGTTAAAGTGGAAAGTTTTTAAGAGCAACATGAAGCTTTAGAATACACAAACTTCCCTTTAAGAGAAGAGATGCAGTAGTAATAATAATTATCTATGGGTTGTAGCAAAATGCTTGCACTTAGTAAGTTGTTAAGCCTATGGAAGCTTGAATATTCTAGATTTCTCTTGGTCGGTGTTTAGAAAACACACTCAATGTGTTAGATGATTTTCCCTCATTGTTTGAGCAAAATTCAGGATGCTAACTTCCTCTTCTAACCTGAGCTGCAGAGAGAGATAAGCAAAGAAAGCTTCAAGATTTTCACAGAGGGAATACCTCATGCATTGATAGAGAGGTTCAATAGATTCACAGATTTTAAAGCCAGAAATGATCATTATGATTGGTCTGATTTCTCGCATAAACAGGCCATACAATAGTCAATCTCCATACAGTCTTTATAGCCCATTCAATCCTAGACCTCTATGCTCAGACAAATGACAGGAGTAGTTTATGTGATTTACCCACCTATGTATTGAGTTAAGGCAATTCAACCATTTCCTATTGGCAAATGAGATGAGCTCAATTTAGCCTTGCTGGTGCATGAGGGTGTGAATTGCTATCCCTGTTCCAGTGAGGAGATCTGCATCTCCATCATTGCATTGTCATCTTCCCCTAGAGTTTCTGCTGGGGAAAGTAGATTTAATTTGAAGCTGGAGTTCCATATAATCCCTGCTGGCAGAGTGTGCTCCAGGGATGCACAAAATTAGCATATCCTGCTGCATGTGAGACAGTGATACTCACTGTTGGAGCTGCACTGGCTGGCCAAGTGCCCCTCACCAGATGACTTGTACTTCCACAACTGCTCCACCCTTCTGGCAGAATCCTGTGGCGGTCAAGAGCGGTGGGGTACTTAAAAGGGCAGCATACTTAAAGTGGGGATGGCGTATTTAAATGGGCAAGGCGCATCTCTATGTCTGTCACACACACATGGTGTGTGTCTCTGTCTCTGTCTCTCTCTCTCTCACACACACACACACACACTCTGTCTTTCACACTCACCTCCCAACACATACTTGTATTGTTGTTATTGTTACTTTTTGAGACTTCTTTCAAAGTGTGTTATTTTAGTTTTTTGACTGGTCTATGCATTTCATAATTTTTATTTCTCTCTTATGCTTAAATTTAATTCTTTGAGTGGTGAGTTCTAAAATACCTACTCTCTCCTGGCTGGAGTAATTATCCCTATGGCAACTTTTTAAAAGTATATATTATATCTAGGGTTTTGGTTTCTACTGGTGGTGCACATCTGCACATTCCCTTGATATGGTGCACATAACAAAATTCATTCTGCACATGGATGGAAAAAATTAGAGGGAACACTGTGCAGCCCCTTGATTTTTCTTTTTAGAAATGTCTATTTGTCTAGTTTCATGGCTTGCCCACCTTTAGAGCTCAAAAATCAGTGCTTCTGAGGGTGAAAGGAGAAGGACGAGTTCCCCAAAGTGCCAGCACAGCTCCAGGTTGGAGGGATAGGCAGGTGACAGGGCTAATTCACATTTACAAAATGAAACTTGGTTATCCTGGTTATTCATTATTATGAACCTCCAAAAAAAAGGGGTGGACATTCACACTCTTTTGAAGGTAAACATAATGTGATGTATTCTTCAGAACTCTCTCTATATAGCACTCTATTTGGTTCAAAAGTTTTCTTTTTTTAAAGCAATGGTGTATTTTGTAACATTATTGATGGGCTGTGAATCTCATTGAATGTACAGTTTTAGACTCCCATTTCACTGCAACCTCAGTTATAGAACCCTGAAGCCAGCTGGACATTGCTTTGAACTGCACAATGAGAATGTCAGCTGATAATACCCAGAAGAGTCATGCCATATATTGTTTCCTTGCAAACAGCAAACCACTTATTGATGCTTGTCAAACTGTGGTTTGGGACCATTGATGGTTCTCGGAGCACTTCCAGATGGTCTATAGAACTACTTCTTTCATAGTGTTGAGGCATATGTCAGTCTGCAAGGAGTGACAAATACTGTTGGTTGTGTCACATGCAAGAACTCATACGAGGTTCACAGATTTTTTTAATCTACAGAATTGGGGGGGAAAGACATCATTCTGTATGCTGTGCAGGTGCTTCTTGTCTGTCTTTGCTGCATGTTCCTTTAAATTCAGTCATGGGCAAATTTGTGGACTACTCCAGATCCAAAGAGGTAAAACTAAATTTCTGATTAACCCAGACAGATTCAATCAGTAGAGTCTGCAGCAACAAGGGGAAGATTTGATACAAATATATGCGAAGTCCTAGCCTCAGGGAGAAAAAATAAACAGCATAGGTACAGAAAAGGGTGGGGGCCGGGGGGCATAGCCAGCCAGCCATACTCACTTGAAGTAAGTTTATTTTCATCTTGTATCTGTAACACTGTCATGCTTTACTGTGTAACCACATAGTGTAGTTGTCACAGGTCAGGTATAGGACTGGGAGGATAGAGAAGGGAGGGGGTACACAACAGAATATATCTTAAGAACAGGATCTGCAAAATGAAAAAAAGAATCACTGTTCTAAGATCTCCCATTTTTTAACAATTATACACCTCTTAACCCACCCTTGCTAATGCATTCATCCTAACCACACCTCAGAGTGACACCACTAGACATTTCTCTTTCAAATTCCTCCTTAAATATCTTCCATGGAACCATCCAGTGCTGAAGTCCTCACCAGTAATGTACCCATCCCCTTGCCATTGAGCTGTTATCCAATGTACATCTTTGTTTAACTGATTGCAATGACCTTGGGCTTTGACTTTCATTTGTTTGTAAAGTGCATTATATGTTTATGGTGCTGTTGAAATATCAGTTTCCAGAAGAGACAGTGTAGATGTCTCAACCCCTCACAAGGATATGAAAATATTATTTATAATATTTAACTCTGTTCTGGTTTGTTGTATAATAGGATATGACAGGGTTCAGAAATCCTACCTGCTTTCTAAGAGGCAGGGAGTGAACTGCCTTTCCAGAGGTCACCTGGATGCACAACAGTGTGGAACAATGAAGCAGGGCTGGGGGCTGAAGACCCAGTCAGGAACTCAGAGGGACCCTGGGAAGCTCTATGAAAAGACCTTGGAGGCAGAGCAATACACTCAAGGCACAGACAGATGAGGTTGTGGAAGAAACTTCCCCGATCTTGCGCTCCCAACGTAGTGTTTCCTGTGCTCTGGAAAACAAAACACAGGGAGTGCTTGCTCCTGCTGCCCCAGGATTGGGTCACCATGTGGGACAGAGGTCATGACTCCATTTCCTCTCTGTACTGGACCATGAAGCAGGGCTGGCGCATGAGTGGAGAGTAATCTGGGTGGGTGGAACAAATTGCCAACCCCATGCCCATGTGAATTGAGAACTCTTGGCTCCCATCTTGGGGCAGAACAGCTCCATGTTATTCTATACAGGGATGTGAGATAAATGCTACAATCTAGCTCTCTGTGTATGGGGGGGGGGAGGGTTTTGTAATCTGAGCTCAGACCCTCTATGCCTGATTATGTTTAAATTAAAAAATATATATATTTCGCTGAAACCTATGAACAATGAATGTACCAGTAAACACTGGAGTCCAGGGATACCGATTTCTGTCATGGTTCAAGTTTAAAGCTGTAGAAGAAAACCTAATTGGATAATAAATTCCCTGGGTCAGCAGGCTCATGCCCCATCTTGCTGAATAATCTGAATTGCTTTATAGTATAACTACCATAAATGCTTTTGAGATTGATTAATACCTCAGCTTCACTTTGGCCAATCAGTCAACAGCTGTTTATTCCTGTTTACTATAAATCAACAAAAATTACCCTTTGGATTTAATCTTTATTGACAGACTTTTTAAGAAGAACACAATCCCTCTCCCTAAATCCAAGGATTAAACTGCATGCATTCCACATTTGGGCTGTGATCTCATCAGATTTCGTTAGCAAATTACTGTGTGGTCAGGTCAATATCTGAAGAGGACAGGGCCGGCTCCAGGGTTTTGGCCGCCTCAAGCAGCCAAAACAAAACAAAACAAAACAAAACAAAAAAGCCGCGATCATGATCTGCGGCAGCAATTTGGCGGGAGGTCCTTCGCTCCCAGGTGGAGTGAGGGACCGTCCGCCGAATTGCTGCCAAATACCTGGACATGCTGCCTCTCTCCGGAGCGGCCGCCCCAAGCACCTGCTTAACAAGCTGGTGCCTGGAGCTGGCCCTGGAAGAGGAAACCTCCTAGGCACATACTTCTCTATGAATTTGTGCTAAACCCATGTTCCAGCACTCTTTTTGAAGGTATTGTGTTCCTGGAGGTCTAACCTTTTGATGTCCATGTAAAACTAAGGTATTGATCGCTTGCAGTAAAGATTCTTTGGCACTTTCTACAAGGATAATGGGTGTTAGCTATAGGGTCTTAGCCATACTCCTGTCTGGGTAATTATACTCTGCCTACTTATTGTTGCTCATGCAGTTTCAACTAAGTAAAAGGTGTACAGTATTCCTGTGTACTGTTAAAGAGCTCCCTGATCCCAGAGGTGGGTTAAATTTGTAAAGAGCTTTGAGATATTTTTCAATAAAATGCAAAAAATGTACGTTTGAACCATTA